TGTAAATTCAGCATCACAACGCAGCGAGATTAAACCCGCGCCATCCATCGCTAATCCTAATGACGAGCACTTTTTTTCCTAATCATTCGCCCGGAGAGTGCTCATTATTTTGCAATTCCTTGGTCCTTAAGTGCCGGCGTGCACTTAAGTCGCGCAATTATTGGCACGATACCGTTCGCGTCGGATGCATTTTCTCGCGAGGCAAAAAGCGCGCAAGACGTGTGTACTCGGAAACATGCGTCGTCAGCGAAGGAAACGCTACTCGAGCTTCACTTGATCGTAATCGTAAAAATCGCGTGAAGATTGATACCGACTTTACACCTACGGATGAAGCAGAATTACGAGACGCGGTCCTGAACTTTACTTTCACAAGTAATTTGAAACCTCAAAGTGCGTGTCTCCTAATTAATAAAAAGTATAGTTTTCAAGTTTACTAAACCATTCCAAAATTTTACTATGTTCTCCCCCCTTGTAATTCATAAAGTCGCAATTTAAACGAAAAATAATGCAGAAGAAGCCACGCGAGAGAAAGGTATAATCCCGTCGCGAATTCTCTCGAAAAATTCATTCGCACATTATGACGTAAAGCTCACCTGGCCGAGCTTCTCCGAGGTCGGGCAACGAACGTAACCCGCGATGCAACAGGTTTTCGCGGGCAAAGACTGCCGATTGATCCCCATTCCCACGAACGCGGCAGCCGATCTACGGCGGTATATACGCGCGAATATAATCGGCCGGCGCGGAAATTGTCGGTTCCACAATGTTGCCCGCGCGCGCTGAAAACGGTTAATAAATACGGCTTTGCGAACCGTCATGTGTATGAGTGCGTGTGTGTGCACACCCGCCTACGTGCGTGTGCGTAAAGAGAGGGGGCCCCGGTATTTTGTCAGAGACGTGCACTTATCCCATCGTGCACGCCGCCCGTTTCGTTTCTCCCTTTTTCTCTTCGGCCCTCCTCGCGCTCTATCGTCCGCTCGTTCCACCTACTACCCCACGCACACACGCACGCACGTGCGTTTTAAGTACACGCAAAAGCTGTGTTTATCATTCCACGGCAGCCTCTTCTCTCCCCCTCTCACCTCCGCCTGCCTCCTTGCCCGTCTTTCGCTCGCCCATCGGTTCTACCTTATTACTTGCAACGTAACGTACATGCCATGCAGCAGCCAGTGACAAAAAACGAGTGAGGAATCGAACCCTTTTTCATGACGACGAAAAAATTCGCGTGCCTAAAGCGTGCGACTCCACGCAATGTAAAGGCGAGCGTTGACAATTGTATCGATCACGAATCTTCATCTACTACTATTTTTGTGGTCAAAATAAAAAAAGGATATTGTTGTCCCTGAAAATAGCGATATTTTTTTCTCAATGTGTGACATGAGAAGATGCAAAGTGGTGGTCTTTCTTTTATTTAAATAAAATAATCTAACGTCAGTTTGTTTTATCTCACGTTGTGCCAACGTGATTTTGTTGCAAGCTCACGTTGAATCGACTACAAATTTTGAATTTCGATCGTCTACAGACTACTACCGTCGATTTAACGTTTCATTCTCAGCTGAGGAACATATATCTCGCAACGTTGTGGATCTATTAATGAAAGATGCGCCCTCCCGTAAGCAGTTAATCGAATGGATGCCCTCCTATAAACTTCGAGCTGCGAAAAAGGACTATCTCGAGAGGGTTGAATCATCGCACGCACTGCGCGCGTTCGCGATTATAATAAATTCGATCGCAGCGTGTTGAATCACGGCGATGCTGCCATAGACGCACGTACGAGAGCACTACGAGCAACCGACATGTAGTGGGTCAATTCGATTCCGCCTTTAATGACCGGATAGGTGGGGGAGCCTTTTAATAACCCTTCCTCTTGAACCCCGCTCGATAGGTAGGTTCGAAAGTCGCGACAAGGTTAAGTACTTGGCGCTCGCTGCATGACCTTCCTTCCGGTCCGAACAAAACAACAAATCGCAGTTGCGATAATTAACTTCTTCCTCCTCCCTTTATTCGAACGCGTGATGAGTTTTCCAAAATTTCGCGAGGAAGTCTTACGAGCGAGCGAAATCGACGATCAGATAGATAGATGGATTATATTCGCGCGATATAAATCATCGTCGGGCGGGGATTCGGTGAACTCGCGGATAAGCTCGTAAATCGGGAGATTTCAGTTCGGAGGTTTAATTAATTACCGTAAGGTGCGCTACTATCCTAATAAATGGAGCTCGATCTATCAAGCTCAGCGGTGCGAAGCGTTAAGTACAAAAAGATCCTTTGGGCATACCAAAAAGATTTGTAAGAAGACCGGACGAGGGCAATGAAGTTTCCTCCCTCTTGAAGTCGAAGGGGGAGAGAAGTAAAAGGGACTCGGAAGGACCCAGACAGAGAGAGAGAGAGAGAGAAAGAGAGCAAAAGAATGGCCACCGGATAATTTCATGTCGACGAGCGTACTGCATATGCAAGTGCCACTGTAGTCACGGCACGGTGGTTGGCTACCTTTGCTATTGTGCACGTCCTACATACGCTACCCTTGAAAATTTTCCCGACATAGACGCTCTCACACGCACTCTTCTACGATAATGTGCGTTCTTCTTTTTCAATTTCTGCACGTGCCGCGTGTTTCTTGCCGTCTTTAGTAATTAAATAAACGCACGACGCATGATTCACGATTAAGTTTTTTTACTTTAACTCATAAAACGGCTAATCGCACGAAAAAAAAATATATAAAAAACAGTTTTTGTAGAATTCTAATTCGGGATTTCAAAAAAATGGTTAAACTTGGAAAAAAGTGATGCATTATTCTTTCATTAAAAGAACTTAATATAATTGCCCATGCGCACGCCCCTAGTGAATCTAAAAATGTTTCATCGGTATTGAAAACTGGTTCTTAATATCGCACGCCAAACTTGAATAAATATTTCTCAACGTTTCCTAGATTTTCAAAATTTTCATATTTTTTCTCAAATTTGATACCCTGTATTTTGAAGATAAAACACATGTTTAAAAGACATGTTCATAAGACTTTTTCTTCATAAAATAAGCGAAGGAATATGCTTTAAAATTTTTAGTACTTAGGAATTACCCTATGACCAATTTTTAAGTCTATATTCAACACTTGCAAGTGTTGAAATAACACATTTTATATTTTAATGTTGATCAACATATTAATTTTAATTTTTTATATAATATTTATGTTACTGTTCAACATATCCACCTTGTGTAAAATTAACAAAAAATTTGTGTGCATTGTTTGGGATATGCAAAATGTGTTATAATTTATCACAAAATTTTTTATTATGTAATTTTTTATTATGTACTTTGCATGGTATGTTTCTGGAAATATTTATATGTGTTCAAGCAACCGTCATTTTACAGGAACAATAATTCCCAATTTTTTGCAGCAACCGCGTATAATATTTTAGCATAGGTTATTCCGATTTAATTTTTTTGCATACAATTGTTTTTATTACATTTTTTTGTTCGCAGTAATGTGACGATCGAAAAGAATTTTTTGTTATCTCGAAGCGTTTCCGCGATTCTCACTCGTTACACTTTCCGCGAAATCGAATAACGCATAAGCGATTCCCTTTGGTTATGCTTTCTTATTAAAGCGGCATATAATAACAGCGGTTCTTTCTTCCCATAAACCCGTCATTACCTCCCCAACACTAAGCTACCTTCGACATTACTGCGATTCCGTTGCATATTCAAATGCGCGAGCAAGCGCGCGAGTCAGCGAAGCTATTCATACTTAAACGCCGTAAAAACGCGCTGCGCCACGATTAAGAAAAATGGTGGGCCGTTTGTGAATTATAGTGATCAATATGTACCGAGGAGATCGAACTCATTAAACTAAATTAAACAGCAATAAAACTATTTGCAATTCTCGCGTACTCCATCCTTATTTCACTTAGTTTTCCATTCTAAATGCATTATTGCTTATCTCATTATATAAAGGAAAATCGAAAGATATATGATTTATTATAGATTCATCATGTGGAGAAATGGAAAATAAACTCTGTCCAACGGTGAGGGGGATTATGCGATATTATCATAAGACCGTTTTTATGAGCGCAAAATTTACTTCAGGCTTTTCACGATTTTTTATTTATCCACATTTACTCATACCGTAGCTTAACCGTTCGGTTTTGCAAATCGTCGGATTGTCCTTGAGATTATCTGAATATCTTCAAGCCGATAAAACGACTTTCCAGGAATAACTAGATAGATCAAACCGAAGTCTCCGATTTGCAAACTCGGATGTAGCCGTACTATTTACGTCCAACGCTCGCTTCATGATAGAAATTATAGCAATTATATATGCACAAATGACGGCACCGAGACAATACCAACTGAATAAGTTGAATGCACTTGTCATGCTTTGCTCAAATTATACATCGTAGTAATAGTAAAAAAAGGCGAGTTAGCTAAAGCAGCCAACCGCTGTCACCTAAATCACAAAGGTTCTTTTGTTTGTTGTTGATACTGTCCCTGGCCATATTATTAGACGTACCTTAATTTTTTGCAATTCATTGGCTTCTAGCCTCATGATACGGTTCATCTATCGATCGAATTATGTTAAGAACGGAGTTAACGATCAGTGTAACAGAAATCTGTGTTTTGATCAACCGTTCCAATCCTCTCTCGATGGCACGAGAGTTTCAAAGAAATTACACGTAAGAATGCATATAAGGTTAGGTCGACAATAGAGTTTTAAGCCTTAAGAAATTGACCAATCACAATTGATTATTCTTCTATAATGCGATTGGTCAATTTCTTAAAGCTTGAAGCACCTATTGTAGACCAGGGCTATAACGTTCGCATGTTTGCTGTAAAAGTGAATCTTTCATTGTCGCGACTTCTTTTTTCGTCTTCATTCATCACTGCCACGCGGTGCTAACGCTCTCGAGCGTGCACGACGATGTGCAGTGGCGCAAGTGCGAACAGTCGGCCGAGCAACATATTGCCACTTCCTAAGAAAAATAAAACTTGCGGAAACAGAGACTCACCAGTGAAGCGGTGCGCTCGAAACGTCAGACTCGAAAGGGTTGTAGCACCAAACTCGTCGTCGCAGTCGGCCGATGCACCCACAAGACGGAGGTGGGTTGTCGTAAAATGCAGTTACGCAACACGCAACTGGTGGTGCACACGCGACGCGGCGGATCGAAAGGCAGAAACGTCACGACAGACCGACGTCACCGTCGTTCGATGTCGTCGCGACGTTATCTTCGAGCGAACGATTATCGAACGCGCACCGACACGCACCGACACGCGCGGACCCCGCGCGTCACGCTGAGAAAGACCGGGAAAGAGGGAGACAACGAGAGTGAGCGAGAGGAGGAAGGACTGACAGATCGAGCGGAGTAACGTGCGAGAAAGACAGGTCTCGGAAAGAGAGAGGGGGAGATACGCACGATCGTCCAGAGGCGTCACTCACGAAACACCGCTTTCACAGCCGTGAGAGAGTAGGACGGCTCCTCCGGCTTGACAGGCCGTGCAAAAAACGAGGCAAAATCAGAGCCCGCCGGCGTGAGCACACTCACCCGTCACACTGTCCGCACTGAGCGCGTCTATGTTCACGTCGCTCGCCCGAGCTGAGCTCACGTTCGTATGACTTCGGTCGCGCTCGGCCCCCCGGCGGCGCTGCCCTCTCGCGCCGCAGTCTCGCGATATATTCGCGATATACGCGCGGTGACACACTACATCAAACGCGGAGTATTCCTCGTGGCGCGACGCGAAATAAAGCTCGCAGTCTGCAAAGAGAAAATGACACGATATTATTACTTCGTATGTCTGACAATGCGATGTTGCAAATGAATATTTATCTTCCCAGTAAGCGAGAAATCGTTGACACTACGTTATCGCAATGATATTTTGTAACATATAACGTTTTCAAATATGTAGTTCTTAATGTTGTATTCAACGTTATTGTTAACAAAATTAATTTGAAACATTAAAAATAATATTTCTACACAGTAATTTTAATACTTGAAAATATAATATTATCCGGTAACGGTTTAAAAACATTTATAAAATATTAAGTCAAAACTTGTTTACAAAGTCCGCGTAAAATCAATGTTTTGAAAGATTGATTTGATGTTTCTCGCTTACTGGGTTTGTACGGTCGGCGTCGCATGTATGCTCTTCTCTTCGTCTATTTCTTAGACGAAGAGTTAAAAGATTTTCACAGATTTTTATATATAATGTACAAAGTTGAACATTGCAGAAGTAATTCTAGTTATAATGTTAGGGTTATAATGGCTCTAATAGCTTCGATCTTATGTCGAAAAGGTATAAAATGTGTAATGGTAAAAAATTTCAATCTGTTCAAGCATACATGACGCTGAATATATTATACAAATATACAGAGTTTACCAAAGTGTGGAAATAGTGGAATATCTTGAGAATGAAACAATTGACAAAAAATAATGGATCAGACAAAAAGTTGGAAGAAAGATACGAATGTTATACAACAAAGTTAAGGTCACCAACTTATATCTCCCTCCAAACCCTATAATTTTCATTTAAACCACTTTTTTATCAATCGCCCCACTTTCAAGATATTTCCACGCTTTTGTTAAACCCAGTATAACACCTGTGTATAATACCTACACTCGTAAAAATATTGCCAAAATTATATTACCAAATTAAAATTATTATTAACAACGCTAAGTTATGAGAATGACGAATGTTACAAGGCGCGCGAACAATTTTTAAATATCCAGCTGCTGACCGAAGATAAATAGAAAGATTCGTAAAATAGGACAACATGGGTCACCCCTCCGGCATTCATATCAAACTCTTCTCGAGCATGAATTTCTTGTTTACACGCGCTTGAGCAAACGAAATCTCACAGTGAACTATAGCGACAGCCTCCCTGCGACGTTTTCATGCAGCAAGTAATTCCGTAACGTACGCGAACGTACGAGCCGCGGGATTCCAAAGGAGTAACGGTACAGTACTACCATCTCGGGTGGGTCGTTCGAACCACCGTAAATTATAGTTGATACCGCGAACCGCCGACAGCGACAAATATCCTTATCTTCGTCCGGTCACCACGATCGATTATCGCGTGCGCCGACTGTGTGGGATTCGCGCAACAATCTTCGCTAATCCAACCGGATTATTCGATTCGTCTCCTTCAACCTCGCGATTCCATGAAATGAAAAAATTCACTTTCTCCAAGAGACACGAGAGAGAAGAAATCTCGTTGTATTGACAATATCGATAATCTGGCTTGTGTGGTTGCTTCGGGAAATCTTTGCTGACTTCGTGAGATAATCACATAGAAAGTCCATAATTACATTAGTTTCCCCTTTTGGATGTCTTGTACTAATTGCGGCCGACTAGTTAACGGACAGTATGAACGACCGGGCACGCGATCTTACATGTTCAAATAAACAAGACTCGAAGTCGAACGGTATTTTGAGCCGGACGGGCCGCGAACACGGATTCTAAGCGTTAAAGTCACCAAACGTACGTGATGAGTGACTCGACGATCTCTCGACGAGCTTTCGGCGCGAAGGAGAGAGCGCGCGCATTTTTGGCGTTCAAATCTCTCGCTCGCGATCGGAGGAAACTTCACCACTGCGAAATCGCAGCATGACGCACTCTCGAGATTATCCGTAATTGGCGCAGTTGGAAAAGCACGAGAGTCCGTTAGGTCAGCGTTGTGCCGAATAATTCAAACGGCCGATCGTTTGGCAATTTTTTTCAATCTGAAAGAACAATTATTTCAGAGCGTACCATTTTCATTCAAGAAAGTATCACTGGCAAACTTGTCACAGCCAGTAATACTTTTTTGCAAAGGTCAGTGCTTGATAAAACGAGTCATATTGTTTCAAGTACGGAAACATTTTCAGAAGAGAGTGATCGTTATGACTAGAGATCTTTCGACTGCATCTGTCACATTTATTTATTTATTTCATTGTTCTTTGTTATGGGAGCAATGCTGCAACATTGCTGCAAGTTTCCGTGCTGTACGGACATTGACAATGTAAGGGCAGATTGATACACAAAGAAGTAGTGAAAATAAAATTCTATACGAAAAAAGTGAGTGAGGAAAAGAAATAAAACGAGAAGAACAAAGTAAGGAAACCTATGTTCTTACCTCCTCCTCCATCCGTGAAGCGTGAGCTCATAGTTGCTTCATTCGAAGTGCAGAAAGCTCCGCTGAAAAAAAACAGAGGCTCTAGTAAGAGCGACATAATCGTGTCCTATAAGCGCAGCTTATAAACTTATGAGCGCGTAATATTATTTAATATTATTATAATATCATATATTTTTGTATATTATATTGCTATATATATATATAAATAATTGTAGTTTTTATTAAAAATTATATAAATAAAGTCGAAATAATTTTGTATAAAGGTACGTTTTATAGTAAAGAAAATTCTACATATATATTTTTCTATATTATTATTTTATTCTTTTTTTAATATTCTAAGAACATTTTTATAATACGCCAACAATATTATGTAGACGAACATTTCTATAGTATTAAAAAGTATTACATAACATTCTTAGAATATTACAGGAATATTATTTTAATACTGAATAATATTCATACAATATTCTAGGAATATTACGCGCTTATAGAGATGAGAACGTTGCTGATTATTTCAAGCACCTGTTAACACCTTCGCCCAAGGTAGATTCACGTCGAGATTCACGGGACGGGGCGTATATAATTAACACGAGCGTTACTATCCCACGCGCAATAAAACCCAGCGTAGCTATTTAAGCCCGACGAAGTGAGTCATCATCGGGAATCGCGCGGCTCGAATGCGATCGAGCTTAACGGCGTGCCTTACTTGTTTCACTCGCGTACGTGGTTATTTTATCTCGCCGGGTGGGTGTGGACGTCGAGCGTCGCAGTTGGAAGCTGGATCTCGCGTTCAAGTCGACGTTGCTCTTTACGAAACATCGCTGCTCCGTGCACGCTCGGTGCCGCGCGTCGTCTGTAACGGTCGATCGCGACGCAATATGGCGCGCGAGAGAAATCTGCCGTACCTACTAATGGTATGTTTCGCACGAACCGACCTCGCGCGCTTTGAGATCCGCTCACAATTGCAAGCATAAGTACGGGCCTTAGCGGCATGTAACGTACTTATCGGTTCCAGACAGGGTTAGGAAAGTTACTTCTGAAAAGTAATTCAACGAGTCGTTACAATTTTCATCGAGTTTTAACGAGCCTACTTTTTAGAATTCACTTCCGCTCATTTTATGACATATTCGTAACTGTCGTCCAAAAAAAGGAACGCGTTATCGTTACCATTGCTGATGAGAAAAGTCGCGTTGCCAAATCGTCATTAAAATAAAGTACCTGCAATGGTCACAGTATTGGCGAAATATTACTGTCGGTTGGTGTTTACTGGGTTCCCCGCTAAGGCCCGACACAGCTCGAAGAATCTGATCGATATTTCTCCGGCCGATCGTGAGTAAAGCGATCGAGTTGTTCATCGAGATGGAAGAGACGGAAGAGACATCACGCGTCAACCGAGTTGATTCGTTCGTGCGGCGCGCCATCGGACGTCGCGACGTCGTACCACCGGCGGTGCTAATTTCAGCCCCCTGCGCGCGCTCTCACTCTCTCTCTCTCTCTCTCGCCACTCGGCGGAGCTGAAAGTGCATCAAAGATGGCGACCGGAGGGTAGGGTCAGAGACACGCTCCGCAAAGCAATCTCTTCCCCGGTGGAGACGGCGGTGGTTGTGATATCGGGGCCGCGCGCCTGCCGAGCTTCGCTCGTACGGTGAGTACAGAGCCGACTCCCTTTTACGTCGCGCCGAATTTCTCTCGCGAATCTCGAGCCGCCAATCGGCGCCGACCGCGGGAAACCGCGCGCGACTACCGCGCGCTTACGACGAAATCTCGCGCGATCTAGTGCCGTTTCGGTAAGTTCAATGCGCACAGATTCGTGTCACACGGCATGACGAGTGAAACGGGAACGGCGCGCGTGTGTGTGTGTCGCGCACGCACGCACGCGGCCGAGACTAATCTATACGAAAGTCGCGCGTGTGTTACACCGCGTACGCGAGAGAACAGAGCAGCAGGCAACGTGAAGGCGGTAAATGAAAATTAATGAATTATTACATTGTCTTCTCGAGGCGTTCGTTCAGAATCGGAGCGTGTCGACGATTACGTCATGAGTGTTACGGCCGGAGACGACCGGACGATACGACGAAGATTGCAATGCCCGTGTCTCTGCCATCTTGCTTGAAATTTAATCGACGATTAAAACCTGTTCTGTACATCAGGCGGTAGGAGTGCGTTTCTAAGAAGTAAGAATGAACCAATCATAGTCGATTATTCTCCTTACGTTCGATTGGTCAATTTCTTATTCTTACTTCTTGTGAACATACTCCTACTATAAACTACGCTTTACTCGCTGGTAATGACTAATCGCATTAGCCGAACTGATCGATTGTCCCTTGAGTTACCTCTTGTCCGCAGTCTTGCTTTAAACAGTAAGCAAATCGACCTACCACGATCGATTATTTTTCTAATAAACAACCGTGATTGGTCGATTATGTCTGCTTACGTCTTAAAGCAAGATTGCGGGTGAAACGTCGATTAGGTTTAAATCATGAAATAGACATGAGGGTGACAAACTTTGGTTAATCTAACCGACGATTTAAAATTAGTCTCAAACCCAATAAATACCAATTAACCCTTTGCACTCCGCTGTCGCCGTAGCGGCGACATGGTTGTTTTGCTGCCTCGGCACTTTAAGAAATTTTAAGTCCTAAAATTTATGTTTTTCTTTTATAATATAAGTTAGAATATGTTTTGTTATAAAATAGCTAAGAAATAAAAATTTTGTTTTATTGAAACGACTCTATTTTTCTTCTACATCATAGGTATGTACTTGGAACTAATAGCCTCTATGCATTACTAGGCTGGAGTGCAAAGGGTTAATGATAACATTGGTGTTATAATTTCTCACTCAACAATATAACTGCAATATAGTTGTATATAACAATTATATCGTTGAGTGGAAAATTATAACATTGTTGTAATGTTACTGTTGTTTGATGTTTACTGGAAAATATACAGGCTGAACTCCACCGACAAACTTACAGAATAGATTCTACATGAAAAAATAAGTGAAAAAATCTTAGTAAATATATGTTCTCAAATGTTTCGGTTCTGAGATATAGCTGCCGCAATCTTAGTTTAAAGAAATATATATGTTTTGTTCATTAAATCGTGTTTTACAAATAAGTAACTGGGCGCATATTGTTATAAAAATTGTTCAAAATATACCTCCCTTACCAATGATGTCAAGGGAAAATTATGTTTTTTTTTTAATTTCACTCACGATAATAACATATCGACACAATGAATATTCTTCGGCTAATATTTAAAAATATCAACATTGATAAGTATTATCTTTTCAGAAATAGGTAAAAAGTGCTGCATTCTTAAATCGCTTATCGTGACACGTTTTCTTTCATCATTATCATCTACTGAAGGCTTTATTTACTCAAAAACCAAACTTTTGGAGATATGTTTGGATATTTTTTTATTCCCCCCTTTCGTCACAAAGTATTTGCCCCCTTACGTGACGTGTGGAATTACTCCTTCGCTTGATATATAGAATAAAAAAATAACTATATTGTGAATAATAATTATAAGACTATATGCTTTTTCTAAAATACAAATAATTTTTAGTCGTATAACATCAAATTAATTACTTTATTTTATAATTTTGATCAGTAAAAATTATGCTTTTAAAAGAATACATATTTAAAATTAACATTTTTGTTATTAATACAAAAGCATGTAGAAACTTGAACATTTTCCACCAAGTGTAACTAAAGATATTCCGAATGCAAACAAAGCGGATAACCATGCGCATCTATATTTACAAGTTATACCATCTAATGTAGCACTCCATGGCCTTTACTTCCCCCCTCCTTGCCATCACAGACCGTTACGCAAGCTAATAGACCCCTCTTCCCCTTGTGGTGTGACGTAATTGTTGAATGACCCCTAAGACTTATTTTTCAACATAGAATCTATCCTGTAAGTTTGTCGGTAGAGTTTAGATACACCCTGTATATAACTTGCTCTATCTTGCTAACGCGGACAAAAATTGTTAACTCTTTGATTGTCGTTGTACAAAACTGAAAATTGGTCTTGGCAATTCTTATTATTATTCGTCGATTAGTTTAATCTAAGTTTGTTGAAGGCCACCCTGAAAGAGGCGTTCCTTAATTTCTGCCAAATTGCGATAATGTATCGTGTAAACGTGTGTATTCACTGCGATTAGCTTAAAATAAACTTGTTTAAACTTCAAGACGATAAAAAAAAATATCATCGCGATGCGAATGCATATAACAATTGATGACTGTCCACTTTGCAATTATGGAACGTAATTTACTTAATCGTACTCGTTTTTGGCATGAAAGACAGCCAATAACTTTTTAAAAGACAATATTAAAATTATTATTGCAACTCGTAGTGATACGTTACTTGAGAATATATTTATATTTAATAAGCAATACGGTTTTTAATATATCTAAATACATCAGTAATTTAATTAAAAATGATTCCACACGCGCGCGCATATTACCTGTGGCATGAATTAATAGTCATATCATTTATTTGTCAAACGTTAGCAAAAAATCTTAATACCGCTTTTCGAGTTACGTTACGAGCGTGATTTTGTCAACGAAGCATCGAGAATGACGCGTTTTAAATTTCTCCCCGTTGCTCTTCCGCTCCTCAGGTTGCTCCAATTTTCTCACAAACATCGCGCAGCGTAATATGTCAAAGACGGTGACAAAAATTGATCGGCGCGGTTAGGAGATCGGGTCACGCGTGCGAGCCTCCAATCGCGCGATGTAAATGCCCTTCGCGATCAATGCCTTCGCGTGCACATATATAAGGTGTCCCACCAACAATTTTAATGATCTTTCAACGAGTTTTATTCCTCTGAAATTCGAGAATTTTTTCTGGGGATGCTCTTATAAAAATTCGCTTATCAGAAAGCGAACTTTGTACTAATATAAATTTCCGCTAATACTTGATCTGCAGAGAAAAATTCTCTCTTTGGATTTAGTATCCGCGATTGTTTGATTTCTTTAATATAAACAATATAATTTAATATGAAATATCATTTTGTATAATAAAAACGTTATTGTTTCATTAGTGTAAGTAATAATGTTTTCTTCCCACGTTTGATGGAAGGTATTACTTAGAAGAAATGACATTTGGTTTTTAAATAAAAAATATATTTTATTGAAAATGAAATATTGTGTTTCATTGTGAAACGAAAAAAAGTTCTTTAACTAAAAGTTCTTTTTTTCTGACATAGTGTTACTTCTTTCAAATAATTTATTGCTTGTGACAATCATTGTAATATTCGGATAAAATTACCAAAGAAATATGTTATTTGTTGACATAAAGACATATTTATTGTTCGAGAAACCAAACAATCCTGTTTGTTGAATGAAACGTTTGTTTGCTGCATTCCTGCAAGAAACAAATTGTTTCAATTAGAGAAATTTTATTAAACTCAAAAAATCTTTTCCTCTGTGTGGAATATTGAAAACAAGAACTTTCAGCAAATTCGAATCAATCAACCGAAAAGCAAAGAATGTATCAAATTGCTTACGATAAAAAAAATTCGCTGCACTCTTTTTGATGAACACTTTGTATATAACTACACGCTGGTCGTGTTATATATGTTAGATATATGTTTCCCCGAGAAATACTGAAAAATATTCGATGACGATCCCGACGGCGGATTTCACTGAATCTAAAATAGAAAAAAGCAGTAGTGTCTCTCCTATTGAGAATGCGCGCATTTGTAAGTAACCACCTTTACATTGCAAACTAACCATGTGTGTAACTGCATTTCAATGAGCGCTTGTTTAGCAGTAACGTACCTCTGTTTCTCTAACAAACTGAACGAGACCACGTGTGTGGCTATCGATGATCTCCGCGACAAGGTATCTTGCTAATTGGAACTAGCGAAGAATTGCCTCCGGTGTCTCTAATTTCTTTCAGATGGTGGCGGGTTCCTCGGTTTTCCGCTAATTCAGGACGTCGGGGTATGCAGTGGCTAAAACTCACTAACACACACACACACACACACGCGCGCGCGCGCGCGCGTCCACACACAACTCGCTCGTTCGTCCACGCCGGGATATCGAAATAGCGATTAACGCGCTCACGTAATACCCACCTACTTTGCTCGTCAACGTCTAGTCAAAGAGAAACGGAGGAAGGGAGGGAATATGAGATGAGTCAGCGGAAAAAGAAACTCCGACGCTCCGACGGAGATAAGGGTCGGGCACCTGTGTGAGAAACCAAAAAAGAAATTTTAATGTATATAAATATATAAAACCGATACATATATACACCCGAGCTGATTCACGGGTCTTCCTTTGCTGTGGTGATAACGTACCAAAGAGAAGAGGCAAAAAACACACACCTTCGAACGGCTTGAGTTGAAACACGAAAAAAAGAAGCGATTCAATCGCTCGAGATTAGATCACGAAAAAGCGAGGCCTTCGACTGGTTGGATCCATTAATGATAAGAGAGACGAAAGAGCCGATCGCGAAGCATCGTCCAGGAAGTGTGCCATCGCTTGAGAGATTATACTCGAGCGAGACGGCCGGAGCTGTGGAAGCGCCTCGAAAATCGATCGGGACGTATATCGCGAAACGTATCGGCGAGGGATGTCGACGGTTCGAAAATTGCGACGGGCTGCTCGCGTCCCGCGGTAACATCGATGCGGTGGCGGTCGAGTCAGCGTTTACAATTCGACGAGCACAGGGAGCCAACGTGAGCTCTCCGCGCGCGCGACAGGACTCTCTGTCTCGTCGAGGAGACTTCCTCTTCCGCGATATTCCATTAACTGATGAATAAACGATTAATCGCCGGAAGCTGGCCGTTAACAACCGATTGATAAGGTCGAGGACGATAAGCAGCGTGCAAAAGAAGAAGCACGCGTGTCAATGAGTCGCGCGGGCTGAAAGGAATGAACGATGAGGTGAAAAGAGTCGAAAGGTCGCGGACACAATCGGCAGGAAGGAAGGGTTGGACGACCCGTCTGGAAGAACGCGGAAAGGGTCGCGGGGGCGGGTATCGAGGGAAATAGGAGAGCGCGCGAGCACATCGGGCTGATATCGACCGAGGATTGCGCTTGCGTGGAAAAAGGCGCGCTCCGAGAGAGCAGCAACAACGGGGCGCCCTCCGCGCGAAAGAGGAGAGTCCTCTCCCGTTCCTCGACGTGTTCAGTCGATCGTCGCGTCGACGGGCGCGCGCGACAGCGCCCCGGTCGTCCGGGGAAGACTTCCGGCTATCCTGACTCGCCGCGGTGATTCCAACGCCCGCACTAAGCGCTTCCGGAAGCGACTGGTGCGCGCGACCCGGAGGAACAGACGGAGAGAGCTCGACTCCGCTCCTCGGAAATCGTCATCGTCACGGGGAAAACCGGGACGGAAGGAGGGGGCGGCGAGGTGTATATCGGGACGATAAGAGCGCGATAAGCCGGACCGCGTTTTATAAACCGCCTGCGTGCGCGCTTCTCCTCCCCGTCTCTCTCGCTCTCTGCGCTCGACCTCGTCGCGCCGATAAAAGACGAATCTGGAGTTTTCCTCGAGGACAACGCGATAACTCGGGCCGAACGAGCCCCTTCCAGTCAGGAACGTTGCGTCGTTCATTCACGGGGTGTGCGGCGGTCTCGTATCAATGGTGAATTCGCCGGTTGGTACTGCCGGAGGTAGTCTCATCGGAGATAATCCACGGTGAGTTGTTGTCGATCTCTGTGATCTACGTGCAATATCAGTCGGCTCGCAAACTTGACCGTACGGGGGGGGGGGATCGATAAATGCTGCGAGGATTG